TTATCTAACTAATAAATCTGTTTAGGACCTGCTGTAGGCATCATGTGCATAACTTTTATTCTCGTTTGGAAATTCTCTTTGCGGAGATGGATAAAAGGCAAAAATATACATACTGCTAAGCAGGGTCAACTCAGCATCTCTGCTGTAATAGCTGGAAGAGATACTGCACAAAAGAGCAAGACTTCCCCTCTGAACACCTTATTTTTCTTGATATAAGTCATATCTTCACCATTTCAAACTCTATGAGATGTATGATGTAAGTACTTGTGAACCAAGAGCTAGGTGAAGTAAGGCTTCCTTGTGTTTGGCCAAAATACCCTTCACTTAAATTTCTAGTGTCACTATGTTGTAATATTTGGTTGCTTGGTGAACGTATCTTTGCTCTGCATGGTTTATAGATTTCAGTCCTGCCCTTTCCATCTTTATTGTGATCTTCATTCTGGTTGACTGTCAGTTCAGTTATTTTAAAGTTTAATTTTTCTTCTAGCTTTGAGTTTCTCAGAGTGGGAAGTTACTAGGAACATGAAGCTGTGGGATAATTTAAGCTTTTAAGATTTTGTAGTCAACTTAATTTGTGTGATGTGGAATTATAGGGGCTGCTCTTTTTCACAGAAGTCCTATGTGAATCCTCGTAAATACACTTAAGTCCTTGCTTATAGTTGCAAGAAAATTAAATCCTCTGTCTTAAATAATTTGACTGTGTATTGAAATCATTTAGTTTATAATTATATTGTTTCCTCCTAATGAATTTAAGCTTAAGTTGGAATAGCAATTAAATATGAGGCACTTAAAACTGTTAATACCACTTCTTGTATTTTATGCTAAATAAATAAATGTTCATTTGTTAAGTGGATAGTCTACCTCATCAACAAAGGATGCATCATGGATGGCAAAAATCATTAGCATAAAACAAATGCTTGCAAAGGCCTTTGGAATGCCTAAATTTAAAAATGTACACTACCAAGGACTTGGAATGAATCTAAAACTCCAAGGCCAAAGAATCTACTGCAGATTAATTTTCTTTATCAAAAAAGGTTGATTGGGGCACTAAAGCCAAAAATAAGCCTATTGTACCATAGCAAAAATAATTTTTTTTAATAAAAAAATTGGGGAGTCTGCATGGCATGGTGGAAAGATGCTGCTCTGGGACTCTGGGAAGAGGGAAATTTTGTCACCAATCAGCTTTGACATCTTCAGCCAGGCATTTCAACCCTATGACATGCATGTTCCCATTTGTAAAAAGAAGGGTTGAAGTATGTTTTTTTCTAGAATTTTCCCATGACAAACATAACTCAGAACTGTTTCATGACTTAATCAAGGTGGCAGAGAATAGGAAGAGTTTGAAAAACTTAGCTAGGGTGCTGCTTCTGAAAGGAACCCACTTCTTTTAAGTGAAAGCATGCCTGCATATCCACCCAGCTGCTGCCCTTGAAGGAGACAGAGTAAATACGTTCTAGCTTGTATGAAGCCCAGAAGTATGATGGTTTAAAACATCTATACCAAATCAGAAATTTAGTGATTGTTTTCTGCTTCTGTTACCTCATTTTAAACTACAGAATTCTGAAAGCTTTAGGCATCTTCCTAATTTTAGTATTCTGAATATGGGGGAGGATTTAGACAGCAGACTGTCTGCATTTAAGATGAGAAGTCCACTGGGTATGAAGGGAATCTATGATTTCATATTATTGCCCTCAGTTTTTCCTGACACATATTTCAAAACTTCTTACCAGTGCTGTGAGAACACAAGTGCATTCCTTTCTGTGCACATTGTGTGTTGGCATCAGCCTTCAGAGCATGTGCTGAGAGATAAGTCAAGAGTTCTCCGGAGGAGATATAAAGGATGGATGGATATGGTCAATGCGAGAACGTGGGCATGGGGAACGGGTTGCTTAGCATCTCTCAGAAATTTCTGACTCTATAAAGCACACTGTAATATTTATGTACAGCCACACAATTTCTAGGAATTAGTATCAGGGAATGTAAAACTTACTCTTGAGACATTTACAGATTATTGATTCATTTAGCCTACTGTATGCCTAAGTAACACACAGCAGTGCAACCTATGTAGAGGCAGTTTGCTATGTTTTTAAGATACTCACCTACAATGTATAATATGTTCAATAAAAACCTAAACTTAAAAAGTTCAGCCTTTGGGGGAAATAGCTAACAGTCCATATGGGTGGAAGATAAGGCTCTATGATTTTTAGTTATAAGATTAAATATTCCTATGTTTAAAATCCATCATAATGAACCATTCTGATATACTAGTTTATAAGGACTTCAGGTCTAGGGGATAAAGTTCAAAGGTTGAGTGCTTGCATAGCATGCACGAGGCCCTAGGTTTGATCTTCTGCTCTGCAAAATATAAAAACACGTACAAGGATTTCAGAGTCCTACAGATTTGTAGGGTAGACCAGCTCAAGGTTGCTACAACTGAATACAAAATTTTAATGCTGTCTTTTCTACATTTATTTTGTAAATCTTCATTAACCTTTCTCTGCGCCTTTTTCTGTTCTTCTCTTTTTTTTTTTCCTCAAAACCATTTTCAAAGGCAGTAGGAGATGTAGCTCTTATTTTCATCTGCCAGGCAATATGCTATTAGGGGTCACTTCCCATGTACGGAGAAAACAATCTTCATGGATAATAATGATAAAACCTTATGGAATGCAAAAACAACCAAAATATGTATTCTCGGATGACCACATGAGGGCCAAGTCAATATTAGTCCCACTTCACCCACGCACGGCATAGTCTAAAAATGCTGTCAGCCTGATAAGAATTTCCTGATTTACTCTTTTCTCCAAAAGAAAATATAGGTCATCAAAATAAACTCCTAACAGTAAAAGAACAGTAGTTACACTGTAAAGTCTCTGTTTTACTGGCTAGTAATAGCCAAATAGTTTATTTGACAAGAAGAAAGAAAGAAATCTTGAATAAGCTAATTTAGTAAAAAGAACATGAAAACTTCCAAGTATACCTTTCAAATAAATCCTTACAGTCAACTAAGCCAAACATCTACTTAGGGGATGTGTACAGAAGCTCAAAATATAGCAGGACTTGATCATTGTGCAACTTGTCAATGTAGACAACTCAGGGTTTTTTGTTTTGCTTTGTTTTGTTTTTAAAGCTCATTCTTCAGTTTGTAGACAGTTTCAGCAAAAGAATGGAATTCAGGGGGTGAGATTCAGAGCTATTGCAAAAGTGAGATTAAGTATTTGGAGTTGTTTCTTACTGAAAAGTAACTTTATGATTGGTTGTTTGAAATTTTTCTAATACTGAACTTTATTTTTTATAATACTAACCTCCACTATAGATTCAAATTGTAATGGAATTAATTTCATAATTCTTAAAGCATCTCATTCACAACTGCTCCCATCAGTGCCTTGTTTTTTTTAAAGGGGAAAGTATCTTTCTGAATATTCAGTGAAGTCTGAGTCTGTTGCTAGTCCACATTCCATCTGATAATTGAAGGCCTCTACAGTATCAGAGATGGAGGAAAGGGTACTTCATCCAGAACTGAGGGCTAGTAACATCCAGAATCCCTTTGTCTCACTTGCCTGACTTGAACCTACATGGTTTTTCTCCATTATTTATATTTTGTGTATGCCAAAGTAAAACTAACAGCTCAACCAAAATGTTTTCATCTATCACACTTGACCACAAATTACAAAATACTTTTCCATCCTCCTTCTCCTCAAAAGTAATTTTGCTTTGAAATGCTAAAGCTGGTAAATATTTAAATAAATAAAGAAAGAAATAATAGCAAGAACATAGGGCTCCTCCTTTTTTGCCCTATCCCGTCCTACTTCTGTTGGTACTGCTTGGCAGTAAATCTAGGGATTTTACCCTTCCAGTTAGATTTCACAGCTCCTATGTTTTAAAGAGAAAGTTATGGTTTCTTTCCAGAATATCAATATACAGGTAGAAAAAGGAGACTGAGAAAATGTACAAATTCAAAAGTCTAATGAACTCAAGGGTCAAACCCTTAGGGCCAGAATAAAAAATAGGGCTCCTAAGAAACGAAAAACAAATCAACAAATTCTGTGGATTACAATTTCTTAACTATATTTACTTATACATTTTAAGTGTCATGAAAGCAACCCACCCTAAGTTCCATAGTCTGAGAAAGAGTTTATGTGGGTACAGCTCCTTGTCACATGAGAATTTTTTTTAAATAATGTAACGCTAAGTAAACTTTGGCGCACTTGCTTACTGTGTCCAGTGATTCTTAGCAGGGGCACCTAATTCCTCATTTGCTAGCACCCTACTCTCCCTTCTGCAGAGCCTCTATCATCTCCTAGTTCCAGGCCCCTTTTTATAGACATTTTCAGTCGGTTAGCAAGGCGGAGCCCCAGCACTCGGACATTCGAAGTTACCTCTTGACTGGGGAACATTCAGTTTAATGAACTGTGTTTTAATTGAGTTAGAAAATGAATGAAGAACCTGTCCTCTAAATCATAGTCATAGGGAGAGAGACTATGGAGAAGTTCTAAGAACATTTAATATATGCTACATCAGACCCATATTCCACTCTAAAACGTCCCAGAAAGGTCATTTCATGAGCGCACTGTTTGGTAGCCTTTGCTACCTCGGTGGCACACTTCCTCCCTCTCAATCCAGAAAACCCTGAACACACTACCTTTCCAAAGAAACAAAATATTTGGCTTAAAGGAAGTTTACTCACATAATCCTAAGACAGATGCCCTTGTGAGCTTCAGAGAACTGAGTTCTCGGAGCCAGGATGGCTAATGAGCCGCCTCTGCGCTCCAGTGACCAAAGATTCAGCAAAGCCCCCGGCCAGGTAAAGCCTCTCTCCCAGGGAATCCCCACCCCGAAAAGCCTCAGCTCCTCTCTCCAGACGGCTTTCTGCTCAAGGGCGCTCCCGCAGGTCCCAGAGCATCCTCCGTGCCACCCATCCCGGGACGTCGCCGGAGCCCCAGACCGATACTCTCGGTGCCCCTCGCCCCCGCCCCCGGCAGGCTGCCCGGTCGGTGACTCACCTGCTGGCCAGGTTGGGGAGCGGGATGATAGCAGGCTGTGGGGCAGGTTGCAGCTGCCACAGGGTTGGGCAGATACTGGGGCGCTCCATACGGCTGGGGGTGATACATCACCTCCGCACAACTCATGGCAGCAGGGGCAACGGCGGTCCCCGAGTTGCCGCGGCCGCTCTCCGCGCTGGCGCGAGGGGCGCCGCCGCCAGCACCGCAGCTGCCGCCTCTGTCGCTGCTCCAGCTGCTACTGCGGCGAAGGCGGGTCCTCGGCGGCCTCGGGCTCCGCGCCGGGCGCGAGCTCGGGAGGGGCTGGCAATCAGCGGCGACCCATGCGCGGGCACCTTCATCTTCAGCCCCTCCGGGTGCCCCCTTGCTCGCGCTTATATAGCGGCTGCGGGACGCGGCCGCCCGCCCCGCGGCAGGAGCATGACAGCGCTCGGCTGCGGCGAGCGCTACGGCACCCACAGCAGCGCCAGCCACAGGCGCAGCCCGGCCGGGGTTGGGCGGCCCTGGGGAGCCGGGACCCTGGTTTGCATATACACAATGCACGCCCGGGGCTCGGCCTATCACGGGCGCTCGCGGCTGGGCGAGGACCGGGAGCTGGGGGCAGGCGATGGGGAATGTTTGGGAGGGGTTGGGAGGGGTTGTGGGGAGGGGACAGCACTTGGCCTCCCCGGGCTCTGACGCCCAGCTTTGCAAAGTTCCTGCAACTCCGGTCCGCCGGCGGGTCGCCCAGCAGGGGGCCCCTGGGGAGGGCTGGCTGCGGATTGGAGCGAAGTTTGCAGACCTCTCCGCCTCCCAGCAGGGGATGGTGGTGGGAGGGGAATGGTATGCGAGAGGTTCCGCGCCCTCCAAGTTCTGCGGGTTCCCACCCTGTCTCTGTCACCTGGCCGCCGGCGCTAAGGTTTCCCAACTCCACGGAGCCACAGCGAGCATCAACTCAGACACAACAACCAAACCAAAGCAAACGAAGGCGAAGTGTACAAAAAGATAAAACAGAGCAGGCGAAAAATAAAGAGGGATTAGCTCCTACATGAAAAATAACCTTAAGTGAAAGTTAACATTATTATAAGGGAACGTGCCGAGAATGGAACACAGTTTTCTACAAGCAATCTGAGTTTTAAATTTACGTCTTCCTGTCATGACATTGCTGTGGGATGTGTACCTTTTCTGGCTTTTTTACCGCCCGATTTCCACAGAGCAATAGAAAACAATCGTTCAAGTCCTTTCGGCTACTATTTAAAAGAGTTACATTCTGATATTATTGTAGAAAAGAATAACACTTACTTTATAAAAGAGCAAACTAGCGCTGACCTTTACCTCTTTTATGACACACAGCCGTCTCTATGTGACGGACTAAAAGGTCTGCCCTTTCTCAGAGGAAAAATCAGTTTAGATTTCAAATGCACTGATATGGTAGTGAATTTTGTTCCCCCCAGAGTTCATACCTTGAAGCTCTAACCCCAGATGTGACTGTATTTGGAGACAGGCCTATAAAGAGGTAATTAAAGTTAAGTAAGGTCCTGGGGTAGGGACTATTGGGTTAGGACTGGTGTCCTCATAAAAAGATCTCCCTTGCTCCCTCTCTTTCTTCCTCTCCCCCTTCCTCTCCTTTCTCCCTCCTCCCTTTGCAAAGCAGCATCAGAGCCCTGGGAAGCCAGCTGCTGGGGTGTGGGGGGGAGTCCAGATGAGATCCAGTAAGGAGGCAACTGTCTATAAGCCAAAACCAACACTGATTGCACCTGGATCTTGGACTTCTAGTGTCCAGGATTCTGAAAAAAATACATTTTTGTTGTTTAAGCCATTCAGTCTGCTATGTCACGCCTAGCAGACTAATTTCTAATATATTGTATAAGTAGGTGTATTTATATAAGTAGATATATTTATATGCATAAGTACACAGACATATATACATATAACTCATGCATTTACATATACTGAAACACACAAACCATAATCATTGTGTGGGGACTTTTCACTATCCTATAACAACTTCTATTCAGTCACCCCTTTTTACCCATTGAATATTGAATAGTAAAATATATTTATTTAAATATACTAAGATAGTTATTAAGTATATATTTGCTAAAGGTTTATAGTTTGCTCTTTAAATTGTGCTCTTTGTATTTCTATCAGTATATCAGAATTTAAATGTTTATCACTGTTCCTTTCCTTTTTCCTTGGTTAGACACCCTTTCTTGTGTTCCAGACTCATCATTCCATTGCTTTCTGCACAGCTACATGTAGATATTCCATAGGACCACAGTTGTAATAGCATTAATCTCTCCTCATCCTGAATCTGATCCTCCTCTTTGAATGTCCTTCTCAGGTTCTGAAATTCTCACTTATCAGTAGGCCCACCTACACATCTGGTAATCTTGTGAAACTCCTTTTTCTCCATAGTCCCCACATCAGGTCATACAGTCAAGTAGAGCCTAAATTTTTCATTTCTGCTGACACTCTCCCCTCATCTCCTTAACTGTATTGCTATAATCCTTATTTTTCTCAGTTTCTCTCACTCACACTCCTATAAGAGGCTCCTTGCTGACTTCCAGGCCCCAAATTCAATCATCTTTGATCCATTCTTCACAATTTATACTTCTATTTTTTAATGATCTAGCCCCACTGCAAAGACAACAGAGTAATGGGGGTTTATCACTCTTTTAAAAAAATTTCACAGTGGTTCCCCATGGACTGCAATTCCAACTCTTCAATCTTCCATTTCTGGTCCCTGTCTATGTGACTATCTCCTACATTCATACAGTCATCTGAATTTATGTCTCCCATTTTAGGAAATAAGGGATTGGAGGAGAGGCTCAAGTGGTAGAGGACCTACCTAGCATGTGTGTGGCCCTGAGTTCAAACCCCAGTGCCCTCAAAAAAGAAAGGGGGGAGGAGGTAGCCCAAACAATGTATACACATATGAATAAGTGTAAAAATGATAAAAAAAGAATCAAGGTTATTTACCCATTGGCCTCAATTCAGTCCTCAAAAACAAATAAAATTTATATACTAAAAAAAAAAAAAAAAAAAAAGAATTCTTCCTGTAGGACTTGGGGGTTAGCTCAGTGGTTTGATCCCTAGACCCATTTTTTAAAAAAAGGAAAAATTCATTCTGGAGGTGTGGCTCAAGTGCTAAAGCATCTGCTTTGCAAGCACAAAGCCTTGAGTTCAAACCCCAGTCCCACCAATAAAAAAATGTACTTGCAGCCATTCAAGTAAACAACTGTGCTATCTTCTACCACCATGTCTGTGTATAGATGTGCAAAATATCTGTACCAACAGGTCACCACCCATCTTCTTCACTTGCTAACTCTTTTTCATAAAAGAGTCCTCTTTTAAGACATCAATACTATGTACTCATGCATGAAAATAGAAAAATAAGACCTGTTGAAACTATTCCAGGAATGGGGGGAGGAGGGATAAAGGCAAATGATGGAGGGGGTGAATTCAACTAATGACATATTGTAAGAGTTTTTGTAAATGAAACAATGTACCCCCAATACAACAATAATATAACAAAAAACCGGGGGAGGGGAAGACATTCAATAGAGACCAATTTTAACGGCCTATTATGAGCAGCTCCAGGACTCAGGGACATTGCTCTCACACACTAACAATCAACTAATTGATCTGAACTTTCCTATTGGTTTGTCCCCCAACATGAGAAGGGCTGCTTGAAAACAGGAAAGGTGACTTTTATCTCTGACTCTCAGTCATTCAATGCTTGACTTAGTAAATATTCTCTGACTAAATAAAGTATAAAAAGAGGAGAAAAAAAACTTTTAGAAGAATTTGTAAACTCATAGGAGGATCAGAGTACATTACAAATCAATGAAAGTTATAACACGGAACATAGTTGCAAATTGTGTTTTAAGCTTTCTATTATATGATAGAATGAGAAAGTCTGATAAATGTGAGAAAAATTTAGGATCTAAGGGATAAAATGACTGCATTAGGCCACAAAGTTAGTTTGTGAAGACAGCCTTTCCTCAACACCAGACCTCCTGCTCAAAACCAACATTTTCTTCAAATAACCTTATATACCTTAGTTAATTATTTTTTCATATAACAATGTGTTCATTATCTGTTTCCTTCACTAGACTGTTGCAGAGATCATTTCTATTTCATTCATCCCCATACTTAACTTATAAGAGGTGTGCAGTATATATTTGTGGACTGAGAAAATGAAACCAGAACTAGATGCAACATATGCCCACAATTGCTGTAACTTCCATGTGGCCTAGCAAGTTGTAAATATTTATTGTTTGATAAAGATGTAGTTCATGGGTACTAAAAAGTCATGGAAACAAGTGGGAAGTGTTTGGCAAGGTATTCCTACAATTAAATATCTTTTCTGATGCCTCTCTTTATTTCTATATTGTACTGGTGGAAGAAAATGAAAGCATAAATTCTTCCCATAATTAGAATCCAGAATAATGGTCAGAGAAGAGAGAGACAATAACCTGTGAAACACTGTCATCTTAGTTGGTTCATTAATAAAAATTAGGGTAATTTGAGTAGGAGGGGAGATGTACCTAACCTACTAAGGCTAGATGTCTAGCCTTTTAGAATGGAAAAGAACCAAATGAGTCACCTAGTTTAAAATATCTCATTCATGAATAAGAAATCGTATGGTCTGATGAAAGACTCCTAGGGATAGAGATAGAGCTAAAGCCAAAGCCCCACCTCTCTTTATTGTTGGTTTAATAAGATATCTGAATAAACACATGTGTATATTTACAAGCATGCATACATTATAGCTGTGTATGCATATTCACACATATTGATGCAAATGCATGCATAAATATATACACAAAAGTAGAAGTTTTCTACTAGATTTCTATAGAAATTGGGGATGGGGGTGGCAGGCCAATTGTGTTTTACATTAGAGAGTCACTCCTATCAAAGGATACAGCCTGACTACTGGGGCACTCATTTTAATCATTATTATGTTCAACTGTCAAAATTACAAAAACAGGAATGAGAAGGAACTCAATTGCACAGATTTTTGAGTTAATGTTTCCCAAAATTCATCTCCTCTTTCTTTGTCATTTTTCCCCCTTCTCTTGATTGAATCCTGATATGGAACCCAATCTAACCTATCCAATGCTTATCCTCCTACCCCTTTTTTTCCCAGCTACTGCCATGCTAATAAAATACCTAAACAACTTTAAATGTTTCTAATTCCTCTGATTCAGGGGCTTATAGTCACTACATTTTTTGGTCCCACCTACTAAATTTGACAGAATATTCTCAAATTTTCCAGCTGGAATTTAGTGAGATGAATCCCCCAAGCTAGCATTGTTTAGAGGGGTAAGTTAAAGTATATTTTCCCTCTCTCTGG